GTTTGCCTAACCTTCCAAATGTTAGGCCTCATCGTATCAGGACTTAAAAACAAACCACAGCCTCCTTCGCTGGGATTTGTGCCTGACCCCTTTGTCAGGACTTACTTTGCCTGCGGGGCTTGTGAGCTTGCCTGAACTGTCCTTGGGACTTACAATCTGCCTGACTTCCCTCTGTCAGGACTTTTGGGGGTGTGTGCCACTCGTACAACTATTCCCTCCGCAAGCCCGGGGGGGGACCCTCTTTCCCCCTTAGGAGACGACTCACTCACACTAATTCCACTCACTTCCCCCTGTTCCCGGCCGGCCCATTCGCAGGGGTATGGAAGTGTGGTACTGAGGGGACTGCTCTCACTTCGAAGGTCCAGCTGCCGGCCTTCGTCTCACTCACACACACATGCGCACGTCTCCCGCTCCCGCCACCGGCTTTCTCACCAATCCGGTGCTCCGGTGCTCCTCTGTGTCGCTGGTCCTGAGCCGATCCCTCTGGTCCTGGTAGCCAGCTGTCCTGGAGGTCCAAGATGGCCAGTGCTGGCATCCTCTTGCAGCGTGGCTATCCCGGATAAGTCCCCAGCTGAAATAAACAGGGCAGGAGACTTTCTCCTTTTAATGCCTTTATTAAAAGTGATCAGCTCAGGATTGGGCAGCTTGATGGGTCTGCAGTCTCCGTCATCTCTCCCAGGGTGACTCAGAGGAGGAGGATATGCGCAGCTTTGTCCACCAGGGGCAGAGCTGGGGGTCCGGTCCGCGTGGGAGCCTTGGGTGTGGTGACTCAGATGTTGAACTCCACAGCTTCTCTCTCCAGGTCCTGGTCCGAGAGGATTTTCTCGCTCAGGGTGAGGGACAATGAAGGCCCCCAGCATCTCTGCAGGCCCAGCACTGTGCTCCTCACATCCAGACATCACTCCAATTTCTTAACTCTATTTTGGCTCGTTGTTTTAGGGGTCTTTTCAGTAGGTTTGGAGTAGTAGCTTCTCATGGCATGCTGGTTCTGAGGTTATTTTGCATGCCCCCCTCCCACATCTCATCTCTTCTCTTCACTGTCTTGGGAGAAGAGCCATTAACTTAGCCCTAGGCAGGGCCTTTACTGATACAAAAAAGAACCATTAACGACAACAACTTGTAATTATCATAACAAACAGGTGGCAGGAACGCTGGTCTGACTGGTTTTTGTAACCTTTTTTTTCTACAGGAAATTTGGCAGAATTTTGTTTATAACAATGCAGAACATGTCTTTTACATCTAGAACTGCTGTCCATTTGTGTGCAGGTGCTTGCAGGGTGGCACTTAGACTGGCAGTGTTTGGGATGAGTCTTCCCATGTTGGCATTCAGCCACTGATAATCAATCATTAAGCGCCAACTCATGTCTGGTTTCCTCACTGGCCAAACAGGAGAATTATAGGGGGTATGTGTCCTAAATATTAGTTCTAAATTTTTAATAGATTAATTTTCTTTTTTTTCCAGAAAATTTATTATACGCAGTTTTTGTGGGTCAGGATGACCATACATTTCTGTTGTACAATTGCCAAATTTCTTTTGAGAGCACCATATCCTAAAATGTTTTCTTCATGATTTGTGATTGCAAATGTGTGTGAGGTGATTTGTTTTTCCTCAGCTAGCCATAAACAGACTTTGACAGTGGAATATATAATACTTTGTCCTTTGAATCCTGTTAGATGGACTCTCCTTTTTTAAAGCTTAAATTTATTTTTTCAGCATCTGTGGGGGTGATTGAAGATATTTGGGCTCCTGTAATAATTAAAAAATTCAAATATTGTTTTCTAGGTCCTATTGGTAAGTAGATATGGGGCCCATCCTTATCAGATCATTGATAGGTCCTAATGAGCTGGGTGAGAAGGCCCAAAGTTCACCCAGAGGTATTTTTTTCCTTTTGTGTTTCTGTTAACTCAGAAGGACTGAGGAGGGTTTCCTGTGGAGGCTTTCCATTACTTGTGTTCTCCCCATCCTTCACCACTTTGACTAAATCTGCTATCTTGCATTGGACTGTCCCCTGAGGGCATCGCAGGGGACTCCTAGGATCACTGCCATCCACACCTCCTTTTTGCTCTTCCCAGAAGTAAGCACAGTTTTGATCTTCTGTTTCTCTCAAGTAGGGTATGTTTAAAAGTCTTCACCCAGCATTCTGGAGGTATCTGCATTTAAGTTTTTAGGCTTCTCTCAATAGCCTGAGTTTGTTCTCCAGAATGGCTTTCCTAGCCCATTTTCCTTGTCTGGTTCCCAAGCCATGCAAGAATTTTGCCCATGTGGGGATAACCGCCTTCATTATGCATTGCATCTGTTCTTATTTCATCTCTTTGCCCCACTAAATAAACTTTTATCATTGCAGGGGCACCTCTCAATAGAAGTCTTTATTAGGAGCCACCTCTGTGGAGATTGGGGTGTTTCTGTTATCACATAAAAGCTGCCTTTGTAACAGCAGCAGAGATTTCATTAGATGACCATGTGGGTATGGAAGCTGTATCTCCTCTTCTCATAACATTTATTGCTCCTGCCCAATTGCAGCCTCACTGGTTATCGAATAGGGTTGATTGGCAAGCTCAGGTCCAAGATTTAATAAGATTCCCCAGTATCTCTTAGCTTGAGTTCCATTCAGCAACATTCTAGCTTCCCCAGAGACTCACTCTCCACAAATACTTGGTTTCTGACTCCCCTGGTTTTCTTCCATGTTTTTCCTGTAGATTTGCTAGTTGCAGGGGGTCCCAGGCTATAAGTTCTGTCCGTGTTCCTCCTCTGGCCTCCTTGGGGTTGTTTGGACACTTTGGTCTTAATTATGTATTCCATTTTAAAATCTGGAACCTCTTCCTCTCTAGGAAGTGAACATTCAATTATTTAATCAGAGCTCCATTCTCCCTCATCAGCATTTTCATCAGGGCTTTCCCAAAAATCACCATCCCAATCCTCAGGTGATACTATTAATTTTCACATTTTTTCAGCACTGGGGGCTTTTTATAATATCTGTTCTAATTTTTCTTCCAAGGCTTTTGTCTTTTCCTTGAATTCTTTTAGCTGTTTCTTTAATTGGTCATTTTGATAACTGTAAAGACAGTTGTACATGTTTTCTGTCTTTCATTTCCTCTTTCAGATTATTAGTTTCTTTTATGATTTGTTCTCTCCATTGCCATGCAGCCTTTAAGTATAATCTCACTACATGACACGATACCTCTTCCTTTTTTGTCCTCCAGTGATCCCTTTTTTATTTAATTCTCTTGTATCCTTTCCCACTCATACCAATTGTTCACTGACCAAGGATTTTCAGTGTCAGTGTCCTCTGCTCCCATATTCTGTTAAGCCTTTTGTCTCTTTCCCAAGATTATTTGCCATCCTGCTGACTATGTCAATTTGTCACAGGTGGAGTGGGAATTTCAGACAAAGTTTGTGAGAGAAGATGTTGTTGAGTCATGAGGTGCAGAAAGGACTCCCTGCCTTTCCAAACTCCTTCTCTAAGAGAAGCCTTGGTGCGGCTGGATCCAATCCTAACCCTCATTGCCAACAGTTTAAGTCTAAGGAATTACAAAGGTGTGACTGAACCTTTGTACAACTTTGTTCTGCAGGGATAGGGATAGCAAACCAGATATATTTGTATAAAAAGAAATTATTTATTATGATAAACGATTAGACAAAAATATCTTAATCAGAATTATGTACTATACAGGATAAAAGCTAAAACTAATAGTAGAGTAGAACAGAGTATATGAAAGTAATTTTATTAAAGCTGGAAAAGCCCATGATTATGAAATAGAGATTGATGTCACTCACCCAGACCAAGTGTGGGCAAATCTCCTTTGCTCACTCTTGAGGAGTGACCTTGAAGGGTGTCCCCACCCCAGGGAGGAATCTCCACACACACTCCAAGAAGGATATGTTAGAAGAACCTGCCGTTTGTAAGGGGCAGGACTTATAGAGTAAAAAGTGATTGCCAGTCAGATATCTGCAGGCCAGCTTTTCCAGCTTAGCGTTTTAAGGTAAGGATAATTCACCCTATCTGCCCCATCTTCCTCTTGCTATCAGAATGATTAACTTTGGGGTTGATAAGTCAGACTGGATTTAGCATAATTCAAGACCAAAAGCAGTGTGACACCCCCTCTCAGTTCACCACTCACAGTTTTGCAAAACTGGGTGTTGTTTGATTTGTCTTACCCTATTCCAGGCAGAGCATCCTGCTACTCACATTATAAAAACTTCTTTCTTATATGTAGTCTAAACTGATCCCTTTTTGTTTAAGAATGTTCCTCCTTGTTCTGTGAGCAACTGTGAGGTTTCAAAGAAAACCTGAACCCCTCCATAGGAATGGCTTGAAGGTTTGCTGGCTCCTCTGCAGAGCAGAGCTGAACCCAGCAGAGCTGGGGCCAGGAACCTGGTGCTGCTGGGAGGTCACTGTGTAAGCTCCACTCTGCAAAAGCAGCTGAGGAGAACATCAAGAAGGTCACACACAGGAGCCTGCTGTCCTGAGGGATTTATCAGGAAAAGTGACCCTGGGACTGGCCAGGACCAGAGCAAAAACCCTGAGGTGTGGGAGGTAGACCCCAAAGTTCAGAGTCACCTCTCCTTGTTTTCAGCTCTGGGAGATGTTGTGTTTGGTTTGAAAAACTAACCCAAGTCTGGCAGGGGCCGGCTGAGCTGCTGGGGCCAGGAGGGGAGCTGATGTCCCAGTAAAACAAGTTTGGTTTCTTGCTCCCACTGCCAGCTCCCCCAGCAGCTGGGGAGGTGTTTTGAGCTGCCTCTTGGCACAGTGATGGATAAATTAGATGCTGCCACTGAATGGCCCAGCTTGGATGTGCCCCAGTGTGGGACAGCAGAGCCACCTCCAAAGCCGGCTTGGTGACAAGGAATGACCTACATCTGTGGTCACCTGAAGCCAGTAATGAGCAGGTTGAAGGAGGAGGGGAGCCTGGTGGGACTGGGGCTGGATTGTAGGGTGGAGTGGTGGCATCTGCTGTGAGGTGGATGCTGTGCCATCTGTTTCCATATTCCTCCTGTCCAGGATGCGGGAAGTGGACCTGGGCTGTGGGAAGGCTCTGCTCATCAAGGAGAGTGGGGAGTTCCACGCCGTGGGACACAAATGTCCCCACTATGGGGCTCCGCTGGTCAAAGGTCAGTCTGCATCCTGTCCTGGAGAGCAACCAAAGGCATCACAGGACAAAGGACAGCCCCCTGATGTGCTGCACAGCATGCAGCAGCACTGCAGTGCACACTCAGCATCACTGGGGCATCTTCTGGCTGGGGAAGGCATGGGAGCAAGTTGCAGTTGCACAAACTCCCCAGAGCACTTTGCCAGCTCTGGTTTGCAGCTGCCACTGCTGATCACAGGGCTGGGGCTTCTTCTCGTTGAGGGGAAAGAGGACACTCTTTGGGCTGATGGGATCCTTTCAGTAGCAAAAAGAGCATTGCTCATGTTATTGACTGAAGTGGGATGAGGTAGAGTGGTTTCCCATCTTGGCATCTAAAAATATGCATCCTGGCACTTTCTAAGCACAGGCTTCAGGCAGGTCTCTGCCCCAAGCCTAAGCAATGGCAGCAGTCTGTGTGCTGACATACATCACCAAAACTGGGGGTGGGAGGGCGCTTTGACGGAACTGTGATCCTGGGGAACACACTGAGTGTCTTCTGGATGTGCTGGATGTAGCAGCCATGCTCTCAGCCCCCTACCCTGGGATGAGCCTCTTGCTGGGCAGGGCAGAGGAGCTCCACAGTGCCCTGGAGGTGAGAGCTCAGTGCCCTTTGAGAGACCTGTGGTGCATTCCTCACACTGGCTGTCACACAGGGATCCCTCTGGGTATCTACTGCAGCTGCAGGTACAGGGGGGCTGCCCCTGTGCCCCAGCCATGGTGGTGATGAGATGTGTCAGTGCTGTGCCTCAGCAAGCAGAGACACAAGCTCAAGACCAGTCCATGGCTGCATGGTAGCCTATTCCCTGCCCTGGCACTGTAGCAGGGAAATCTGAAATCCAAGGAAGCAGCCTCTGAACCAACACCTAGAGAAATGAGCACATGGCTTTGGGCATGCCTGTGCGTCCCAGTGTGTGCAGATGCCTTGCTGTGCCAGGGTCTGCTCTGAAACGTGTACTCTAAATCAATGATGCTCTGCTTGAGGCACCACTCGTTCTGGGTAATAGTGGGGCAGCCTCATCCTGGCTGGAAAGTGAAGTTATATCTCAGAGCAAACAGCTTTGGAACTGCGCCCAGAGCTACTGGAGGGCCCTGCCATCCAGGGCATTTTAGAAGGGATTGCTCATAGAGGATCCCAGCTGGTCCCAAACATGTGCATGCTGAGAAAACTCCATTGTTGCCCATCCAGTTTCACATCAGCTGTCACATGTCCTGTAGGAGAGGTGCATCTCACAGGAGGGGTGGCAGCTGCAGGGCAGCATCAACGCTGTTCTGCCCTGTTCCCTGCAGGGGTTTTGTCCAAAGGAAGAGTCCGCTGTCCCTGGCATGGAGCTTGCTTCAACATCGGCACCGGTGACATTGAGGACTTCCCTGGCTTGGATAGTTTACCCAGGTTCCAGGTGAGATCCTTGTCCTTGCAGCAGAAGAAACCATAGAATCATGGAATGGTCTGGGTTGGAAGGGACCTTAAGGCTTATCTCATTCTATCACTTGGACACCTTCCACTGTCCCAGGCTGCTCCAAGCCCACTACAGCCTGGTCTGCAACACCTCCAGGAGTGGGGCAGCCACAGCTGCTCTGGGCACCCTGTGCCAGGGCTTCCCCACCCTCATAGAGAACAATTCCTGCCCAATATCCCATCCATCCCTGCCCTCTGGCAGTGGGAGCCATTCCCCCTTGTGCTGTCACTGCAGCCACTTGTCCAAAGTCCTTCTCCCCCTCCCTTGGAGCCCCTTTAGGCCCTGGAAGGGGCTCTGAGGTCCTCTTGGAGCCTTCTCTTCTCCATGTGAACAATCACAGTCTGCCTCTGGGCTGCTCTCGATTCCTGCATCCCTCAGCCTTGACAGGTAAGGCAAATTGCTCACATCCAGCTGCAGCAGCTTGCATTTGCCCTTATTGAAACCTTATAATATTCCCATGTGGTCACTTCTCCAGCCTGGCCACATTCCTCTGCATGGATCCCTTCCCTCTAGAGCATCAACCACACCACTCAGTTCCATGTCACCCACAAAATGACTCTTTTAATTGGGATAAGCAACGTTCTGTATGGCATGGAGCAAATATTTTCCAAGGATGTGCTGGTGTCACCAGTGGAGGGCAGCTTCTTCCTCCCCGAAGCTCCCTTGCACCCACCCATAGGCATCAGGTACCTCCTGGGAACCTGGGAGTGCCCAGTCTGGGAGGTCTCTGGAGCAGGAGTGGGATGGGAATGAGAAACCATGTGTAAGATTTGGACACTGAGCATTGGTGTGGGGTTGATCCGAGGCAGGAGATCCCACAGCCTCGAGCTGGGATGAGCCCTGCCATGGCCTGAGCTGCTCCTGCAGGTGAACTTGTGCCATCACCCCTTGCTCCTTAGCTGTTGCCCTGAGGGAACCCTTGCTGCTCTGCAAACCAGCACTGTTCTGTCACCCTCAGGTGAAGATTGAGAAGGAGAAGGTATACATCCGAGCAAGCAAGCAGGTGAGGGGCCACTGACATCCAAAAATCAAGGCAAATGCTTTCATGTTTTGCTGTATGTGCATGGGGCGGGGGGTGGGAGGGGAGGGATGCTTCTCTTTGATCCTCTGGTCTGGGCAGAGTAATGTGTGAGTATCAAATTTATGGAGAGATGTTGGGTCCCCCTTGCACCCAGCCTCCCTGCAGCTGCTGGACACCTGGCCTGGACTCTCCACACTCTCAGGCCTTACAGGTGTTTATCCTGCACTTGTTCTATGTTTCCTTAAGCTCAGAGCAATTTTTAATTTAGCAGGCCCATGGGAAGAGGCCTCTTCCACCTTCCAGCCTTTTGGCATGGTAATGGTAGGGACCACTTGTGCTTCCTCCTGAGCCCACACCTCAGCTCCTGCTGGAGAGGAACCTGATGCAGGGGTAGAAAGGGCTCTCCCGCCCTGATGGAACGCAGAATAAAGCCCATTCAGCCCACTGCCATCTTTCTTTCCATGAAAAGCCTTCTTTTGATGCATGGTTGTATGTCCACGTGTGCAAATCCAGTGGCTCAGAGCCCCAGTGGGCCCTTAGAGCACTTGGGTTAGATCCAGAGATGTCACCTGAACGGCAGCACTTCAGCTGATTTGGGGGTGTGGTGAGGGGAAACTGAGTCTCATTGCTCCATCAGGAGCAGATTTTGGCCTCTAATGTCTGGGAACAGGGGGTCTGTGCAGCAGGGCTGCCCTGGCACAGGTCCATGCCTGTGCTCTGGTGGGTTGGACAAGTCCATCAGCTTTGGATATCAGGTTCACAAGCTGTGCTCAGGTTCAGGATAAAATTCCTGACAGAGTTTCTTCATTTTTGTCTCACCTTTGGTGCAGAATTGCACAAGGACACCTGCTTTTTCTATTGCCCCACCACCACCCCAGCTCTGAGTAGTTGCATGCCTTTGCAGAAGATGATGGATTTGTTTTACTTTTGTACCTCGTAAGGGGCAGTGCACTGGACATTGGAATGGTATTTGCATGAGCAGGGGTTTGGAGTCCTTGTTCAGTACAAGGGTGTTGTTCCCTTCCTATCCAGGCTGGTTTGTGACACTGCTGCAGTTGTCTCCATCCCTGCCTGCCTGCCCAGGGTAACACTGAGTAAAGATAATTGCTTTTCTTTTTTTTTTGGTGGTGACACAGGCGCTTCAGACACAGAGGAGGACAAAGATGATGGCAAAGTGCATCTCCTTGAGCAACTACAACCTGAGCAGCACCAATGTGCTGATCATTGGTGCAGGTAAGGGTGGCACATTCTGGGGTCACTGTGTGTCCCCTCCCAGGCAGGGATGCATGGAAGGGGTGTCTGTGTACCCTGCACCCTCTAACCATCACCCCTCTTGCATTTCTCCCTGTGCAAAGGGTTACACCAGAAAGTCATCCTGAACGTTTTTGTACTACATGTTAGTGATCCAAACATGCCCTGTGGTCCAGTCTGTGGAGCTTTACAGTTCCCTGTTGCCATGCTTTGGAGTGAACCCTGAATTCTCTTCCTGCTACTCCCTTCCCAGTTACATTAGCAGCCCCTGATTTCCACAGATGATGAGTGTAAAGTCTTTTCAGGTCCCTGTGGTGTTGATACACCTTTTTCTCTTGGACCTTGCACATCACCATCTCATCCCATTGCACCTCCAAAGTTCTCACCTCAAGATGCTTCTCTGAAGATAAAAGTTCTTCCACTTTGCCAGCAAATGTCAGATCCCAAAAATAGATTGCCAAAACCAGCAAAGCTGCCAAATTTTCCCTTCCCTTCCCTTCCCTTCCCTTCCCTTCCCTTCCCTTCCCTTCCCTTCCCTT